CTCACACACTCTCACACACTCTCACACACTCTCACACACTCTCACACTCTCACACTCACTCACACTCACACTCACACACTCACTCACTCACTCACTCTCACACTCACTCTCACACTCTCACACTCACACTCTCACACTCTCACACACACTCACACTCTCACACTCTCACACTCACACTCACACACACTCACTCACTCTCACACTCACTCTCACACTCTCACTCTCCCTCTCCCTCCCCCCAGGCAGCTCCTGGACCGGGACACCTTCTCCAAGTCGGACCCCCGTGAGTGGGGTGGGCAGGGTGGGGGGGCTTGGGGTGCTCAGGGGGTGTTTTGGGGGTCTCAGGGGGTCCCTGGGGGGGTCTCTGGGGGTGTGGGTTTCCCAGAGGGTGTTGGGGTCTCTGGGGGTGTGTTGGGGATCCCTGGGGGGTTCGGGGGGCTCTCTGGGGGTCCCTGGGGGGTTCAGGAGAGTCTCTGTGGTTATGGGTTTCCCAGAGGGTTTTGATGTCTCTGGGGATGTTTTTTGAGTCCCTGGGGATGTTTTGGGGGTCCCTGAGGGTGTTCTGGGGTGGGTTTGGGTGTTTTGGGGTGCTCTGGGGTGTTTTGGGGTGTTCTGGAGTGGGTTTGGGGTGTTTGGGGGTCCCTGGGTGTGTTTTGGGGTGTTTTGGAGGGGTTGTTTTTGTGGTGTTTCTGGAATGTTTTTGGGGTGGTTTGGAGTGTTTTAGAGTCCCTGTGTGTGTTTTGGGATGTTTTTGGAGTGGTTTAGGGTGTTTTGGGGTCCCTGAGGATGTTTTTCAGGGGTGTGTTCTGGGATGGTTTCGGGGTGTTTTGGGGTCCCTGATGGTGTTTTGCAGTGGGTTTGGGGTGTTTTGGGATCTCTGGGAGTGTTTTGGGTTGTCTTGGGGGTGTGTTCTGGGATGGTTTTTGGGGTGTTTTGGGGTGTTCTGGGGTGTGTATTTTGGGGTGTTTTGGGGTGTTTTGGGTCCCCCCCAACCCCCGTTCCCCGCAGTGTGTGTGTTGTACACGCAGCGCCCGGGCAGCCACCAATGGCGGGAGGTGAGTGCCCTGATTGGTGGGAGGGCGGCCAATCAGCACCTCAGGGGGCACTCAGACAACCAATCAGAGCATGAGGGAGGTCACTCAGCCAACCAATCAGCACCTCGGGTGCTGGCCGGCCAATCAATCACCAGCGTGTTGGGGCAGTGACCAATCAGCAGCGGCCATGCCAACCAGGCGGCCAATCAGCATGTGGGGGTGCCTGCAGGCCGGCCAATCAGCACACAAGGTTCTGGCCAATCAGCATGTTGGGCGCCAGCCCGTGGCCAATCAGAGCGCTGGGGTGCCGACCAATCAGCACGTCAGGGTGTTGGCCAGCCGGCCAATCAGGTGTTGGGGGGCTGGGCCAGGTGACCAATCGTTACATGGGGTTCTGGCCAATCAGAGCGCTGGGGTGCCGACCAATCAGCGCGTCGGGGTGTTGGCCAACTGACCAATCAGGTGTTGGGGTGCCAAACAGTTGGCCAATCAGCAGCGAGCATTGTGTCTGGGGGTACACAGAGCCAACCTATCAGCACGATGGGGTTCACGCAGCCGACCAATCAGCATCCTGGGGCGCAGGCAGGCAGCCAATCGGCGTCCTGGGGAGTTTTGGGGTGTGGGGCAACCAATCAGCTGCGGGCACACGTCCAGCTGGCCAATCAGCACGGGTGGCGCTGCCCCCGTAATTAGGCAGGTGTTAATTGCGGGGTGAGGAGCGGGGGGGCTGGGCAGGGGGCGGGGTGGGGGGAGGGGCGGCCCCGCCGGCACAAAGCGGCACCTGCGGCCGCCCCCCCCCCCCCCCGCCCCCGTCCCCGCGGGTCCCCCCCGCCCCCGCCCGCCCCTCCCCGCCCACACGGCCCCGACCCCCGCACGTGTGTCCCCGTGTCCCCAACCCCTTGTGACGTGTCCCTGTGTCTCCAGGTCCCTGGTCCCCATCCCCATGTCCCCGTGTCCCCATCCCCACATCTCCATGTTCCTGGTCCCCATTCCCTTGTCTCCATGTCCCCATTCCCATATCCCCATGTCCTCATCTCCATGTCCCATATGAACGTGTCTCCAAGTCCCCAACCCCACATCTCCATGTCCTCATGTCCCCATGTTCCCATGTCCCCATAACTACGTGTCCCCATGTCCCTGTGTCCCCGTGTCCCCATGTCCCCATGTTCCTGGTCCCCATTCCCATGTCCCCATGTCCTCAGCCCCGTGTCCCACATGAATGTGTCCCCACGGCCCCATCTCCATGTCACAATGTCCCCGTGTGCCCATATCTCTGTGTCCCCATGTCCCTGTCCCTGTGTCCTCGTGTCCTCATATCCTCATGTCCCCAGGTCATCCCCACATCCCCATGTCCCTGTATTCCCATGTCCTCATGTCTCTGTGTCCCTGTGTCTCCACATCCCCTGTCCCACTCTGTCCCCGCTGTCCCCCCATGTCCCCCATGTCCCCCCCTCTGTCCCCACTGTCCCCCCATGTCCCCTGTCCCACTCTGTCCCCCTGTCCCCCCGCTGTCCCCATGTCCCCAGTTTGGCCGGACCGAGGTCATCGACAATTCCCTGAATCCCGATTTCCTGCGGAAGTTCGTGCTGGATTTCTGCTTCGAGGAGCGGCAGAACCTGCGCTTCGACCTGTGAGTGTCACCCCTGTGTCACCCCAGTGTCATCCCCAGTGCCACTGGCACCCCTGGCCACCCCCAGGCACCCCAGTGTCACCCCAGTGTCACCTCCACCTCCAGTGCCCCTGGCACCCCCTATCCCAATGTCCTCCCAATGTCACCCCGTCGTAGCAGGGTCCCCCCAGGGTCACCCCAGTGTCACCCGAGGGTCAGCCTGGCACAGCCCCCGCAGTGTCCTTGTCCCTGTCCAGTCCCTGTCCTTGTCCCCAGCCCTGTCCCAGCCCCTCCCTGTCCCCTCCCTGCCCCCAGCCCTGTCCCCATCCCTGTCCCCTCCCTGTCCCCACATGTCCCCATATGTCCCCTGTGTCCCCTCCCTGTCCCACGTGTCCCCCATGTCCCCCGTGTCCCCTCTGTCCCCAGGTACGACGTGGACTCCAAGAGCCCCGACCTCTCCAAGCACGTGAGTGAAGGACCAGCCCCGACCCCCCCAGGACAAGGACACCCTGGTGCCTCCCTGTGACCCCCTGGTGTCCCCCGGTGTCCCCAATCCCCAGGATTTCCTGGGCCAGGCCTTCTGCACCCTGGGCGAGATCGTGGGCGCTGCCGGCGGCCGCCTGGAGAGACCCCTCACGTGAGACCCCCTGGCCCCAATGTCCCCCTGTTCCCAATGTCCCCCTGTCCCCAATGTCCCCATGTCCCTGTGTCCCCAATGTCCC